ATACAATGATTTCTCATGATTGCATATGTAATTATCGGATTATACATAGAAATTTCATATGAATTTTATAATGATTTCGAGGACTCTGATCCATGATTACATTAAGTACAGTATTTTCCATTGTCTAGATAAAATTATCTAGGTCATCTAGCTGAAAAAATGGCTTTATCTTATTTTTATCTAGATTATTAAGAATATAGATTTTCTTTATTTTATTTTAGATAAAATGTTATCTTTTTCAAATTAATTATTAGGTGTTGGAATTAATTCGTAGCGTTTTACAAGTGATGGGAAGTACTTTCATTAATGTATTTTTTAATGCTCATGTGAAATAAATAACATTCTTTCATTAAAAAACGCTACGAATTAATTCCAACACCTAATATGATTGTAGAAGAATATTGTAAAAAAATTTCTATATAACTTTTAGTAGTAGTAGTAGTGATGAGAATTTTTTTGTGATATATGTAGATAAAAAAACTGGGATTAGTATAATATCAGTCATAATTTAAAGCAATTGAAGTACTATCATATTTAGAAGATAAATCTAAGGAATTAGATATTCTTAATTTGTATCCACGTATCAAACAAATTTTTTTTTAATATAACACATTATTGCTATCATCAATGCCAGTAGAGCGCTTTTTTAGTTGTGGACAACAAATATTAATTCTACGTAGAAACTGTTTGTCAGACGAAATGTTCAAAAAACTGTTATTCTTAAAAAATAAAGATTAAAATGAAAATATAAATACATTTTTTGTATTCTAAATTGTTTTACTGTCTAATAATTAGTTAAAAACAAAATTATTTTAAAAATTATGTAAATAAAAATTTTTTTTATTTCATTTTTTATCTAGATTAATATAAAGTTAATTATCTTTATCCTATCTAAGATACACATTTGTGTGATTTATCTTATCTATATTAAAATAATTTTTAGTTATCTAAGCGTAAACACTAAAAGTAATTACTTCCTTGATAACATCAGCTATATTTGATATAATATTGATAAAAACACAAGCAATGAGAATAAAAAAGAAAGTAAGGAAAATAAGATAATAGGAATTTTGAAATTTAACTCTCAATTTTCAAGATAAAGAATTTATTAAAAAGTTAAAAGATTGGAATTTATAAAAATAATATTAATTAATCAATAATGCTGAACTATATATACATTCATGATGGATTTCGAACCTTTTTAATATATAAATTAATATTTCAATTTTGTGTCTATGATATTGTAGTTTGCAAAAAATCTTTGACACGATTTATGATACTATGTATAATGTTGAGCACATGATATTGCAAAATTTATTGAAACAAAACATATAATGTTTAATTGCGTATGAGATTTAAATAAAAGGATATTTAATTGCTGAAGGAGCAGAGAGTTATAGTTGCCTGGAGCAAATTAATTCGGGATTATAGATATTTTTTCTTTCATGCTTGCACCGTTTTTCTGTCCTCGACGCTTCCTGCCGGAAATTAGCGAGGGGACGGTAACGAATCGCTGCCTTCCTTCTGTCAATCGTGCATCTTGAAATAAACCGAGTATGCGATTAATATTTTCCTATTGAAACTACTTTTATTACAACAGGAATTAATTTACATCTAACTAATTTCCGCGCTATGAATTATTGAGAAGCTAAATAATTTTAATCTTTAGATATATAGATAGATAAAATGCTATTTCAATGCTTGTTAAAAATCTAATACTACATAACTACATAACTACATTTTAATTAAATATGAGATATTTAAAAATTTAAATAACCCGAAGACAGAAGGTTGTATCCATAAAATTTGCCAGACGAGAATATATTTTATATTTATATACTTAATTTATAATATATTAAAAAACCAATAAATTAATAAAAAAAAAAACAAGAACTACCTTGCGTATTTATTACACACGTTCGTCAGAGTATACAAGATTATTTCTAAATAACAAGGATCGTTAAAAGGGGAACGCAAATATGGAACGAGGAGTGTCGCCAACGGATGTGCAAGTGACGACGCGGCATAGTTTTGAAGATGAAACAATGAGAACTAGCGACACGGTCAGTGCAAGCTGGGAGCGGACTCGCTCGTCCATGATCAATTATTGTCATTTAGAAGCTACGCCTCACAAAATCCATCTAAGATTGTAAACATGGAAAAAAAGCGAAGAGAAAAACAGAATAGGAAACTAACAATCTTCTAGATAAAGATCTGATGCGTGCTGTGTTTAATTAGCGTAACGGACGAATAATATTTGTAAGCAGAATGAATTTTGCTATGTTGTTAAACAGAAGAAATACATAATTACATAAGTCGCTTCAATTTTCTGTGAAAAGTATGGCGTCGACGATGAAGGAACAGAAGACGCACTTCATATTTAAGATAGTCATATTACTTCATATCAAGATTAGGATTAAGCTGATTAACTTATTCGTAAATCGGAATAAAATGGAAATTATTTGAAACTTTTGAAATATTATAAACTCTATGGATGTTTGATTTTTTTAAATAAAATGAACTAGTTTACTAAGTAAATCAAGAAAGGGCCACGAGCCAAGCTATGTTTAACGCTCTATATCAAAATTCGTGTACATATAAAAACATATGTGCAATGTACATGAATTTTAATATGTAGCATTAAATATCTAGCTTGTCTCATAGCTCTTTCTTTGTTTACTTATTAACTTGTTTAAAAAAATGATGAACCTTATTATATTATTTGAAGTATTGTTAAAATGAACTAGTTTTCTAAATAATTGAATTTCCCAACTTTTGCATATTTATACTTTGTTTTCTTTTCGAGGATGCAGAAGGCAATCTACTCTGATGTGAAAATTATAAATCAGGCTTTCGCATAGTATTGAGCAATTACATTCTTCTGATAAATTTCACACGATTTAGGAATTGCCTTTTCCCCTCAACTGACTTCAGCTTCGCACAAGTAGGCGGAGATCTATTCTGCGATCTAATCGGATAATTGCCGAGAAGGATAATTTGCGTTCCTTCCTTCTTGATCGACGTGGTTTACTAGGCTCGATATCAACGTGCAAGTGTAATAAAGTCCCGATAGCTATCGAGACTTTGCTCGAAGTTTCATATAGTTCTAAATAATTTAAGGAAAATCATTAATAGCTTTTTTAACGTAAAGCAACTTTTTTGCTTTTTTCAGAGAAATCTTATATCTATATAATGTAAATTCAATTATAAATATAAGTACGTTTGAAATCTAAGAATTATTACCATCTATAGCCTCTGTTATTTCTTATCTACACACACACACACACACACACACACATATATATAAAAGAGTCTTCTTTTGATGGCTTGTTTTAATTTCATTTAAACTTGATCTTATTCAACCTGTTGGGATTGTCGTCATTTGATGGTCGACAGTAAAATAAAAGCGTCCTTACAAAAATTAATTACGCGAGCAGCGAAGCGAAAGAGAAAGACTCTATAATTAGATTTGCGCGCGTGCGTCATACTTTTACAACCGCCGCGATGTTTCTTAACTTTATTAATTGCTGCAACCTCATTGCGGCAATTTGATGCTCCGCTCTAGAGATCATTATAAGTTAGACGGTGCGAGCGCGAGCGCGAGTCAACGTCAGTGTCGCACTTACCTGCGCACCTACGCCCGCGATGCACCGTATGTGCAAGTGTGTGTGTACATAGCCGTAGCAATTACTTAAGGCCGAGTCGGTGTAAGACGCTCATGTAACTTGGCCGACGAAACTTTACCGGTTACTCTCTTAGTCTCATCCATTAGTATGGCCCGCCCTGCGACACGGTTGTGGTTACGTGTCTCGCTTCAGCGTTTACACGCGGTCGGGTTTTTATCAATGTTGTAAGTTTAGGTGACAAGAAACTCGGTAAACTGGCTATTAATTCATGAATAGTTAAAGAAACTTGACTAAGTATTACACCGCGAAGAATAATTTCTGTATAAACGTTCTATCCATACAAATATTTTTCGAATATATTATATCTTTGATTTTTATTCATGGAATTGCTTATACTAGACAGTGCTTTCTTTTAATAATTCTGTTTCGTATAAATATATAAATCATTCAGCTTTAATATGTATAATAATATACATCATAATATTTATTTTATATATA